CAAGAAGCAGGTTTTGGGGCATTTAGGGGTGAGGCAGGGACTCACTGGAGGTGGGGTTGAGAGGGGGTGGGGTGACCACAGAGGACTTTGCATGTCAGGTTAAGGAGCCCCTCAAAAACTATGTTCTAGTGAAATGTCCACTCAAGAATGCACAGGTTAATTCCATTTAAGCCTAAATTTGTGTTTTTCAAATGGATTGGTGTCCCTATTTTTTTTATTATTAGCATCCAACTATATTAACAATTTATAACTTATTTTTAAACCTGAGTGTATAAAAATTGCTCCTTTGAAACTAAGGGCACATCTTGCCAGAATCAGATTGACAACTATCACTGGGTACTGCTTCCCACTCAAGTTCACAGGCATAACTGTCATTTGTCAAAACCAGAGCATATGAAAATGGAAAGAAAACAAAAATCTGTTATCTCTGTGCCATCCCTCGTAACTCATTTGCTTCTACACTGGTGACCGGACCTTTCTTCCATGCTGTATTCCAAGCCATGCCCCAGGGGGTCAGCCTCCACCTGCCTCTCCATTGCCCCCATACCCAACCACCAAATCCTGGCCATTCTCTCTCCCAAATATTACTCAGACCTGTGTCTCCACGGACACCGCCATCAGACTTGCCTGAGCCACCAGCACCTCTTGTCAGGATTTCTACAATAACGTCCTGTTTTCTCACCTCTACTCTTGTTTTCCTTGGAATCTCCACAAAGCAGTCAGAGCAATAGCTTTTAAATGCAGGTCTTTCTCCTCCTTGTAGCCCTTTGGTGGCTCTTAGGATGAACCCTGGAACCTGACTGGGCACACTGGGGCTCGGCAGGTCTGGTTCCTGCCTTCTCCCAGCTCATTTCCTGCTTACCCCTATTCAAGCCGTGCTGATGATTTTCATTCCTTGCTTGGTTAAGTCCTACTCTCTCTCAGGTCTCAGCTAAACCTCACTTCTTCAGAGAGGCCTTCCCTGACTGTTGGCACTTTTCACCATTGCAATAAGTGACCAATTGTGTGATCTCATGCCTGGTGCCTGTTCCCCACATAGACTGAGCTCCCAGAGTCAGGGCGGTGCCTGCCTTGTTTCATACTGCACTCTGGGCTATTCTAGTGCCCGGCACTGGGGCACAGTAAGACTAGTAAGTATCTGTTTGAATATGTGATATTCACATCCCACATGTGCTTCTTTGATCCCCGAAGAACCTGAACACAAAAACTAAAAAATAAAACCATCTTAGGGTATATGTGCCCCTTCGAATCAGCATTTTTGTATCTTTTGGATAAATACTGAGTAGTGCAGTTGCCACCAACAATAGCCAAATTATGGAAAGAGCCCAAATGTCTATCACCTGGTGAATGGATAAAGAAGATGTGGTATGTATATATATGTTTATATATACACACACAAAATGGAATAGTACTTGGCAATCAAAAAGAATGAAATCTTGCCATTTGCAACAATGTAGATGGAACTAGAGTGTATTATGCTAAGTGAAATAAGTCATCAGAGAAAGACAAATATCATATAATTTCACTCATATGTGGAATTTAAGAAACACAACAGTTGAACATAGGGGAAGAGAAGGAAAAAAAAGATAAAAATAGAGAAGGAGGCAAATCATAAGAGACTTAAATACAGAGAACTGAGTGTTGCTGGAAGGGAGGTAGATGGGGGGATGGTCTAAATGGGTGATGGGCATTAAGGAGGGCACTTGTTGGGAACAGTGGGTGTTATATGTAAGTGATGAATCACTGGGTTCTACTCCTGAAACCAATACTACACTGTATGTTAACTAACTTTAAATAAATAAATAAATAAATAAATAAATAAATAAATAAATAAATAAAGCCACCTATGTTGGAAACACTTGAATACCAATTCAAAGCCATTAATAGGTATTAACTATCAACCTGTACTATCTTGACTGAAATTCATCAATGATTATTTTAAGTAAAGTTCCGTAAGATGAGAATTAAACAGGGATAGCTAATAAGGGGTACCTTGATGGGTATACACACTTTGGTAGGGGTTCAGGGATTTGGCTAGAAATGCAATTTATTCTTTAGCCAGTGATGCTCAGAGTCTGGGACTCACCAGAAACTGAGGGATATCCAGACTTCCAATGCTGCACGTTCATTGACAGAGTGTAATATAATTGTCAGGCACTGCTGGTGTCTGCTCAGAAAGCACATTTCTGTGCTGTGCAGTCTAGTGGGAAGCTGGGTGGTACTCTCAGGATTGTGGGACATGGGATCAGGGTCAAGAGAGCATGTGGTCTAAATGCGTGTCAGGCAACACTGGCTCTAAATGAACTGTCTGAAACGAAATAGTCAGAAATCAGTGTTTTAAACAGTACTTCCTATAGTGATTATGTTTCTCTATTCCCAGGTACTTTTGCAGTCTCTAGGTATTACTAAAGGAATTTTGTCCATATCCTAAATCATTTGCTTTTTTATTTGTTAAACTGATTTCCATGCAGTCCCTGCATCTTTGCTGAGATCACACGTGTTTCCCCAGCTTCAGTCCCAATGGCAGAAGTTAGGCTAAATGGAGACAATATAACAACACAGAGCAATCAAAATTATGTATGAACTGATAAAAGCCTATCAGATATGAAATAAATTCATTTTTAAGAGGTTAAGGTAGAGCTAATTAAGTAACCTTAGTGTCGTTAACTGATAATGAACTGACATTTTAAAGAAAGCAAAAGAACTTAAATAGGACGCAAATTGCTCTTTAAAAAACAGTTTATAAGTTGTGAAATCACCCATAGGGAGTATAAAAGCTAACCATTTGTGAACCAGTGGGTGAAAAGCTTTCCTGTTAAACCAATTTGTTTTAGCATAACAAACCCTATTAAAGCGAGAGAGAAACAACAAAATGAAACAAAATAAATTCACTGAAACATCGCCAGACAAGCAGGTCATACTTAACTGCTCAAAACTAAATAAAAAAAATAATAATTGTAATCTGAAAATCTGTCATAAATTCCAAAGCCTTTGTGAAAAACCAAAAGACAGCTCTTTTGTATATAAAAATTATCAAAATTATCCATGAATTTCAATTCATTCTCAAAAAGGGATTAATGCAAGTTTAAATATGCATAAAAATAAAACTGCACTGTCTGTGGTACACAATATATGGAAAACTTTGTGGGCCATGCAGGCTGATGCCCATCATCCTCATTACAACAGAGAATTGTGGGATCAGATTGTGTCAAGTCAAGTAAAAATGCACTCTCCTGATTTCCTGTGTGTTGAAATTTCACCATACATAATTCTGGAGAGACGTGGGCTCTTCTTTCCTCTAAGAAAGGAACCTTTCGAGTTCCTTTCAGTGCTTCCTTTCAGTGTTTGCAAAAGGTAAAAATCCAGTTCACTTATGACTGCAGTTTATTTTCACAGACATGCTTCTGGAATATGAAAACCATATATTGCCAGAATTTGTTATATAAGGTATTTAAGTCTCTACACCCAATGTTTATATAGTCATTTCCTAAAAAGCCTTTCTTTTCTCCTTTTTAATGGACATTCCAGTTTTGTTAAGTGAATGTTTGTCAAACCTCATTTTTATATTCATACATACATTTCTCTGACCTAATACCAATCCTATTGTGGGCTTTATGATAGTGTCGATGGAGACTTTGAAGGCTTCTATACTTTGCACAATTGCAAGTATAATTTATCTCAAATGTTAAAGGAAGTGAAGCCAAAGGCAAGGTTCTGTGGAGCCAGAACTCCCATGCCTGTAGTCCATGGAATGATCTGGTCTGTCTGCTTGCCACTGGGCAATCTGTAGAAGAAACAGAGGAATGGACTAAAGCATCCTTTTAAACAGGCCCAGTTCATCTAAATCATTTTCCAGAAAGTCATTCTAGAACCTAGGAAGGCTAGTACATCGTTAATCAAATGTTCAGGTCAAGTCCAGAGTAACAGGAATGGAGTGGGCTTAGTTGTCTTGGCAGGGTCTCTAACAGGTGTATCTGTGCACTCTAACTGATTTAATTGCAGCCACCTGCTTCACTGAGCATTAGCTCTTCAGAGATGAACTGAAGCACCAGGAGATGAACTGCTTCCCTCTCCCTGAGAGGCACACAGTTTTGTTAGGCCATCAATGTGAAAGCGAAACAGGTGTTAAAGGCTTTAGG